TCTGTGCGTCATCCTTTCGTTATAAGATCTCTCGCCATACGCACCTAAGCCCCGCATACGGGACCCCCAAAGAAATTTGTTGGCGGGAAACGATTTCGCGAACCAGGCAACGTAGAAAGTTAAGGCTTTGCAGGGATATTCTCTATGCACGTACGAGCTAAAGTTTTTAAACTCAGCTGTCCAGCACGCTCTTGAAGCGCGTACGACCATTCAAAGACGCAACTTGGGTACTGTGCTAACTCGAAAGCTTGCCGGAAACAGTGGCTGAAATTTTGTCAGCGTGTTAGTCGCCCGTAATAGAAACCCTACTAAAACGAGTACCGATTTATGCTTGCGCCACAAGCCACAACTTATGGCACTTCAAAGATATTTGTAGCGAAGTAGGTATTTCGCTTACCGGATAAGCTGCGAGGCTGAAAATTCGTTCGAATATTCTATTTTCAAGTGCAGTCTTAATTCTGCTTGGAGGTGGAATTCCCTAACAGGTAGGGGTGAGAAATACTCAAATTTGACGAAAAATTAGAAATGAGTGCGTTTTGCAGCGAACGACTGTCCTCACACAAATATGTAGATGAACATTAGTTCATTTGTATACTTAAATTTTTTGACAAACGACCGCTAGAGCAACATTTGCGCTTTTAGTGAACTGGAAATCTGTATATTTACAAAAAATTTGCATTTTCCGTTTTTTCACAAAGCAAGCTTTTACCGAAAAAACAACCGGATTTCATAACAAAGAACTGGTAATCATGCACCTATTTGTCTGTTCAGCCCTATAATGCACCTTCTTAATCCCAATCAATGCCCCTCCTCCTGCCAATCGGAAGGGGCCAAACCACGGCCAATATGAGCTCAAGTGTTAGACTACAGCGTAGGGATCATTCCTGCTATTAGCGATCTGCGAATTCGCGATGGCTCCTTCTTTCATCGCGTTAAATGTCGGGCCTAACAGCAACTTTTTCAAAAAGATCCTTTGTGTTTGCCTTCTAATGACCTACAGGAGTACACATGTACAACAATACGCTTGTGGTAAAACAACACACATCTTTCTTGCGTAAATCCAAAGCTTCCCCAAACCCTCTTTTCCAGGTGAATTTGTTAGCAAAATGAAATACGGTACAGCCGCCAAATGGAAATGCAATGAATCGGTTGTGCTGTATGGTACCACTAATGTTCCCACACACCCACGTGTAGCCGTCATACACAACAATTGCAGTTAGTGTGCACACCGCACGCACTCCCCATTCAAACCACGCATAGTCTCCTAAACGCGTGCGGCGCCCTGCACCACACACAGACGCCGTACACCTCTGCACATCGCCCCCGTGCACACTACGCACGATTACTCAGAAGAACTGCGTAACGCATAAGTGAGACGCATTCCAAATCGACTTTGTAAACGCGGCGCCATCAGGTGGTGTACGGCTATGATCAGTTATGATAGGCGGCAAATTTGAATTCTCATCACTTGCTATTGGCAATAGATTAGGCGGGGGAAGGAGCGAGGACGTGGTCCCACCCAAGTCAATGGAGAGGGAAACAGCAAAATGCAGTGATAGTTGGAAATGAGGGGTTTACTTCAGAACTACGGAAGCTAAGAAGTTGAATTTGTCCTGGTCAGTGTGCGGGGTAGCGATGGGCCGTTAATTCGTCGATTTGCACAAATGGTTCCCTGTCCTCGGCTGAATGATGGCATCGTGTAGAACCCCCTTCTTTCCTCCGCATCTCCATTCTGTGAGAGGCGGAGGCACTTGGAGGTAGCAAATGTCACTCGCTGACAAGGCCGTCGATGGTTCCCTCTTCCGAGTGTTGCTTACAAGCAAGCTGATGGCAGATTTGATTACATGGCATATGCCAGACCAATTTGCTATTAAAAGTGTTAGGCTACAGCGTAGGGATAATTCCTGCTATTAGCGACCTGCGAGTTTAGTGTAAAAATACAT